CTCCACACAGCTCTCCATAGTGGTTGGACCAGTTTGCACTCCCACCAACATTGCAGCAGAGTTCCTTTTTCTCCACAACCTCGCCAACATTTGTTGTTGCTAGTTTTTTTAATATGTGCCATTCTCACTGGTGTAAGATGGTATCTCATTGTAGTTTTGATTTGCATTTCCTTGATTACAAGTGATGTTGAACATTTTTTCATATGCCTGTTGGTCATTTGCATTTCCTCTCCAGAGAAGTTTCTTTTTAGCTCTTCTGCCCATTTTTTGACTGGATTATTTTGTTTTTGTTGAGTCTCATCAGCTCTTTGTAGATTTTTTGTGATCAGTCCTTTATCATTAGTGTTGTGTGCAAAAATGTTCTCCTAGTCAGTGGGGTTTCTCTTTGTTTTTGTTATTGTCGCTTTTGCTGTGCAGAAGCTCTTTAATCTGATGTAGTCCCAGCTGTTGATCTTTGCCTTCACTATCACTGCTTTGGGTGATGTGTCTGTAAAGATATATTTGATGTGCATATCAGTGACTCCCTTCCAAAGACAGAGAACAGTGTCACTTTGGAGCAGAGATACAGGCAGGATTCAGGGCAGCTGACAAAAATGATCTGGACTAAGGTTGAGTTGATCAGAAATCAAGAAAAAAAAAGAGATGTTTAGAAAGGTGTTATGAGAAATTGCTAGGAAAGCAAACCATGGAGATCAGAATCAAGTCAATGAATGGTGGATATTATATTTGGGAAGTTGTTTTATTTATTATTATATGTCTTTGAGGTGGAACTGAACTAGAGTGAACAATAAACCGTTTTCATCTTCAAATTTGTCATCATCACCATCATCTTGGTCATGTTTTCCGAAAAATAGGAAAGCACATTAATGTTACTTTGAAACAGTTCAAACAAATAGGTTAAAGCAAAACTTGGGGGGCCTCGCTGGTGGTGCAAGGAGTTAAGTCTCAGCACTGTGAATCTATCCACAGCCACTGCAGCACAAATTTAATGCCTGGCAAGGGAGCTACCACATGGCGCAGCAGACCTCTCCTCTCTCACCTGTTGCTCCCCTCAGCAGTATATTTCAGTCAGTCTGCCTTTTCTGCTCCCCACTCTGTCTCTGGTGAATCCTTTTAACCCCTGCACCTCTGGACTACACCCCAGCTCTTGTATGCATAAATAAATAAAATAAATCTTTAAAAAATAAATAATAAAGAAAAACTTTGTTACTAATGACAGAATAAGGTTCTGTATTTTGATTGTTATAGTTTATATAAAATTTCTGTTATAGTCAAAGATTATACCAAGTGTTTTAAATTATTTGGACACATTTGATATGGGTGATGAATGATATTTTACTGCCATTCATCACTTATTAATTTCATTTGCTGCAGTACTCACTGCACTACAATTCCAATGCAAATAAGAATACTTAAGGTCTTTATTTCATTGTATTATATTTTTATTGATTTATTTAAGCCATTGTCCCTTCATATTTTTAGTTTTTCTCTCATCTTCAGTAAATTATCTTGTATTTACCCTTAGAAAACAGTCAAGATTATAACTGCAAAATACCTAGATTGGACACTACTATAAAGAGTGTACCATTAACTTAATCTAAGTTATCATGGAAGTGTTAGAAGTAAGTTGGATATATTTGAGAGATAAAACTGATTTCCTGAATAAGCTTCTTAAAGGTATACACCTAAACAATGGAATGTTTAAATTTTTGATTCCTCTATGCAGCCATGGTATAGATACATACCCAAAAATCTTTCTTTAAAGATTTATTTATTTATGCATACAAGAACTGGGGTGCAGGCCAGAAATGTGGGGGTGAGAGGATTCACCAGAGACAGAGTGGGGAACAGTACAGGTGGATCTACTGAAATACACTGCTGAGGAGACCAGTGGAAGAGACAGGAGTGGTCTGCTGTGCCATGTGGGTAGCTCCCTGGTCGGGAATCGAACTCGCTTTGCAGTGGCTGTGGATAGCTTCATAGTGCTGAGATTTAACCCCTTGTGCCACCGGGGAGCACCCCCCCACCAAAAAAGATCTTTAAGTGGCAGGTACTGTGTTTCTCTTCCTCTCCATCATATTGAAAGTGAATGAATATTAAAATGTTTGCTGAATAAGTAAATAAACACACATATGAGTATATTTTTCAAATCATTTGTGATTAATCACTGTGTACCAAGTATTAGGTTAAGTTCTTTATATAAACTTATTTTTTATTCCTGTTATAAACAATAAAACTCATGGTAATTTGGTAACTTTTCCACATTTATATATCTCAATAACCTTGCTCTTAGCAATTAATGACATCATTGTTTACTTGTTATTATAATTCTCCAGTATCAGACTATGACTTCTAAGAAAATAATGATTTTCCACTTGCGTATTTCTTGGCCACCAAATCTAAACTCAGAGCCTAGCAAATATGATGTGCAATTACTACTTTTAGGTTGAAATTATTGATCTTTGGAGAACCTCCTTCAAGATAAAGAGTAAGTGAGAGGACTTTTAGATTAGGAGAGCTGTGCTTAGTTAGACTATATATTTGAAATCTGACCTGTGCTAATTTGGTAATAACCAATCCCTAGGTTCTTCATCTGGTAGATAATGTTAGCTACCTGAAAGGACTCAAGTAAGGGTCAGGTGCAGTTATATTTTGATATCAATTTTAAAAATATTTATTTATTTATACAAGCACTAGGGTACAGGCCAGAGGTATGGAAGGGGGTGAGAGGATTCACCAGAGACAGAGCAAGGAGCAGAACAGGCAGACAGACCATAGGTACTGCTGAAGGGAGCAGCAGGCGAGACAGGAGAGGTCTGCTGCACCATGTGGGTATCTCCATATCCTGCCGGGAATCAAACCAGCACTGCAGAGGCTGCAGACAGCTTCACAGTGGTGCACTCAACCCGCTGCACCACCAGGGAGGCCCCTATTTTGATATCAATTTATAATCAAAAAAGTCAAACCAAATTCTGCCATACACAGAAGATTTTTACATACAGACATTCAGTAGTAATCAAACACAAAATATTTTATGCCGCTTATAGTGTGATCTCAATAAAGGCATGTGGTACTTTTTGTTCTGATTTCCAGAGTTTACTGGAGGTGGATATAAACAGAGGTGACTCTTAGAGTTGTCCTCAGGCAATTGCAAATTCTCCTCCATCATAAGTAGAGCATAGATTGCTTTATGATCAAGTTGTGGACACTGTCCTTAAGGATATAGTTTACAGGCTTCATTAAATTCTTGCATTGTGTCTATGAAAGCAGAGGGAATCTTATTTAAATATGTGGGAAATATAAGTCTACTCTCTACTTCACCAGTGAGAACGAACTTCTAATGGCCATGATGCTAATTAACAAGCCACTATTTTAATCAATGCAAATTAATTTTTTTAAGATTTATTTATTCATGCATACAAGAACCAGGGTACAGGTTGGATGTGCAGGAGGGTGAGAGGATTCACAGAGACAGAGCGGGGAACAGAACAGGCTGACTGACTGAAATACACTACTGAGGGGAGCAATGGGCAAGACAGGAGAGGTCTGCTGTGCCATGTGGGTATCTCTGCGGCCGGCTGGTATCAAACCCATGTTGCAGAGGCTGTGCCGGACAGCTTCACAGCACTGTGCTCAAATGCCTGTGCCACCAGGGAGGCCCAATGCAAATTAATTTTTGACATTCATTGGGTTAATTTCCAAGGAGTTAGCTGATGATAGACATATGCATAAAGAAACCCTTGTAGTTGACTGTGGAGGATGTTCTTTCTGATATAATGCCAAGTAAACACCGCAGAATGTGGTTCTTGTGTAGGGTAAATGTGATTAATAGCTTTAACATACTCATAATAGCACACCAGTAATGGTAAATTACACACACACACACAAACATGTATGTGTCTGTGTGGGTATGGTCTGCTATATTTTCTTCACATTTAGGGTCCATCTTCTCTCTAGAATTAGGGTTTTGAGGCTATCACCTAGATGGTATCAGTTGGTTTTCCAGAAGTAACACAATTTCGGAAGATTTCTCTCATCCTATTCACATTTTATTTTTTATCACATCTTCAGTTCCAAAATGTTTTATGGGCCTCCCCAGTGGCGCAGCGGTTGAGCGCTGGGTTGTGAAACTGCCTGCAGCCTCTGCAGCGCCGGATCGATTCCCGGGCTGCTCCTCGGCCACTGGAGGAGGGTCCCACATGGCGCGCAGACCTCTCCTGCCGCCCGCTGCTCCCCTCAGCAGTGTGCTTTGGTCCTTCTGCTCCCCGCTCTGGCTCTGGTGAATTCTCTCTCACCCTCCCGCGATTCTGACTGTACCCAGTGCTTGTATAAATAAATAAATAAATCTTTAAAAAAAAAAATGTTTTATGGAATTTTTTTATAAGATAATCCATATTGGGCCTCTCCTGGTGGTGCAGGCAGTTGAGCGCCGCACTGTGAAGCTGTCCACAGCTTTTGCAGTGCCGGTTCGATCCCAGCCAGCTGACGAGGGTCCCACATGGTGGGGCAGACCTCTCCTGTCGCACCCACTGCTCCCCTAAGCAGTGTTTTCAGTCAGTCTGCCTGTTCTGTTCTCCGGTCTGTCTCTGGTGAATCTTCTCACCCTGCCACAAATCTGGCCTGTACCCTGGTTCTTGTATAAATAAATAAATAAATAAATCTTTTAAAAAAAAGATAATCCATATTTATGTACTTGATATGCTGTAATCCATATTTTCATGTGATAATGTTCCTTTTCAAGTAATTTATAAATTCCATCAAAGAACATTTTTTTCTGTCTTTGTTTTCTCATCCATTTATTTCACAAATATTTATTAGCTTTAAGATAGGCTCTTTCTACTCTCTTTTTTTGCATGTCCTTGACAACATAAAACTGTACTTAGTACATAGTGCATACGTTGCAAATGTTGATTGACTGAAAAAATATCCTATTATGGGGCCATCATTATTGAAGTTTGCAGGTTTCTTTCCCTAATTTCAAAATGCCTTTTTCATTTTAGATCACTCCAGGTAGCTGTCTCACAGCAACAATCTATTGATTCTCACTGCACCGGGTGAAGAAGAAACACTGGATCAGGTACGACTTCCATTACCAAAAGTACCTACTCAAAATTAAATATATATAATATACTTTAGAGTGAAACTTTAAAAAATATTCTTACAAATGAACTTGAGGCAATTGATTTTGGATATTACTAGAAGTAAGGAACCATTTTTCTTTATTGCAAGATCTCTCATGGAAGAGAAATTATTTATACAAGTACTTGTTAAAGCTTCTACATCGCAATTTATTCCACCTAATAATTACCCTATCAACACATATTCTGTCTAAATGTCTTTAGTCACAGTCTTCCTAATATAATCTGTTGTTCATTGTTCTTCTGTTTGATATGCATGGAGGCTTCCAGCATCTTCTTATTCTAAAAAGTATTTGAATGCTTTGTCTGTTGAAATGAAAGTAACAATGATTAGTAGGACAGATGTTTCCCTTGAATGTAAAAATGTAGGGGTTAAAATCACAAATTTCATTGAATACTCATAGTTTCTGCTTGCATTTTTCAAGATGGTGGAAAATAGCTTCTGTGAAGTGGAAACCAGGTTCTAGTCAAAGTTAAAAAGATCTGTGATCTGCAAAATAGATGATAGTTGGAAATAGCTCTACTGTTCTCTCAAGAATAGACACACAAAGTTAGTATGCTGTAAAATAAAATATTTGTCTTTCTGCATGGTGATTTGGACAAAGAGGCTGAGAGAAAGATGGAAAGGGAAAACAGAACAATGAGAATTTCATTCTAGGTGCATTAGTCAGTCAATATAATGATACAAGGATTGGAACATACTATGAATGTATTTTCATTATTCATTGGTATATTACTATTATAATAAATACTAGACATTCCTCTACATATTGGTTAAAATGCTATACAAACCACTTGTTAATGACATTTAATTGGCCAAATACAAATGTAATAACTAATTTATTTCTTGCATATTGATACTGATTTTATTTATATATACATGTATATATTATGGAATATGTGTGTATGTATATATATATGTGCATATATTTATATATGTATCCCATCATATTTTTCATTGAGATGGAAATGTATGACATTGTGAGAAAATTTTTCAAGTATGTGTATCAATGAACTGATGATATTAATTTTACAGTTGAGGAAGCAATTGAGATCAAAGATTCCCATTTATTTTGGTTTGTTTGTAAAAATGGTATTTTGATTCATTTTTTATTTAAGTACATTTTGTAATAATCACTTCTCTTCAACCTACAAAATACACTTCCTAGATATAGGAAATAAATTAAACTTCAGAATATAGATAAGTGGATTAGAAAGGGAGAGGTTTTGTGTAGTGAAGTAATGTCCCAAGGAAGGGACAAGGTCACTTTAAAGCCCCAATTTATGATGCAAGTTGCCATTATTTCAAGAGTGAAGTGGGAACCAGGTGCTAGTTTCTCAGGAAGGTGGAGAGTTGTCAGGAATCACAAATACAGTATATTCTTTATATGGAGTTTATTATCTGAAAAAGCCTTGGTAAAAGTGGTCATTTTTCACCTGAATTTCACTTAGCACAGAGTTTTTCAGACTGTATTTTTGTTTTGTTTTGTTTTGTTGTATGATTTGATCAGATTTCATATATGGAACTACGCTATATATAAAAGTGATATAAGGAGAGACAGCCTATTTGGAGAATGTGAATCTCAGATTCTTATCTATTCAGCTCCACCCACTCAATATCCTCAGTTATCACCCCTGAGTTTGTTCTAAAGTCTCCTCAAAGCTTACAGAATGACAATTTTAAAACCATGGCCTATTGTAGCTGTTAAATTTTAGAATGTAGACGCTGCACCTAAGAACAGTGGCATAACATACCCAAGACCAGCACTTAAAAGAGACAGAAGTCTGGGTACACAGACATTCGTTTTTGGTTACCTTGGTGCTTCTAAAAAACACACTTAAAGATTAGTATTGCAAATAGAACTGGAAAACTCAGCCTTCCTTCCCTTTATGTCAATCATTTCGTTTGGTAGTTGTGTGTGTCTTTGAGAAGTGATTTTCAAAGTGTGTCCCCAACCAACAGCATCAGCATGACATTTTAGAAATACAACTTTGTAGACTACTCAGACTACCTGTATCAATATCTTTAGTCATGGGAGTTCAGAAGCTTATGGCTCAATTAGTCTTCCGGGAGATTCTGACAGTCATTAAAGTCTGGAAATCTCTATATTAAAGAAATTCTTTGAAAATTACATCCATCTGTAATATAATTTTACATAGATTACCTACCAATGGGAAAAATCACTATAGGTTACATACATTTTGTAAAGAAAATAATTGAGATGGAAGAATGAAACTAAAATATGTTGATCACTTACCATAAACTAAGAACTATCATTTCTCTTATAATTCTCAGAGCTGCATTTTGAAGTATGTTATAAGCTAAACTTTGATGGGAAAATTAAACTCAGAGAGACTAAATAATTGTCTAAGATCATTCAGCTGGAAATTGCAGAAATAGGATTTGAATACCTATCTAGTTAGCTCCAAAGCTTAAATCTTCTAGTTATGCATTGAAATCACACACATCTGGTGTGGGATAGCTACAACTCTGGAGAAAAAACATGCATTGGATTTTTGTTGTCATTATTGAGTGTTTTGATATTGTTTATACTTGGGATGTAATATACCTTTTTCTATGTTACGTGGAAACAATGGCTTGTTATTGTGATAGGAGTATGCCTTCGCAACTCTTTTTAATTCTATTTACATCTATTTGGATATCAATCTCCAAATTTTTATATATTTGCCTAGCTATGACAATATATGTGTATATACTAATTTTTTTCTTTAAAATTTCATATAAAAATAAATATAACTCTGATGGGTTTGGGGACATCTAAACTTACTGGAAAATGAATCATTATCTTAGGTATTATGCAAATAAAATCATGTAAGTATTATGTAAATGTAATTACATATAGAAGTAATTACAGGAATATGTACTATAAACTTCAGAGCTGTAATATAGGGAATTATAGGAGAGGGTAATTATATTTCATGTTCCCTAAAGCTTCAACATGTAGGAAGAAATTCATCAATTTTTACATCTGAAAGATACACTAGAACTCTTAAAATAGAAGCAAAAATTTAATAAAGTTTTTAAAACTGTGATCCAACAATATATAAAATGGACAATACCAACAAATCCTAGAAATCTGACTGTAGAATTGAGGCTACCAAAAGGAGAAGAGAAGGGAAGAGCAAAGTGGGGAAGGGACATGGTGGACTATGACACAATGCTGGCACAATGTGGTAACATCCATCTGAAGTGTGTGGTCCTATACCTCTGAATAATGCACACTATATTAAACCAGTGTTAACTCAATTAAAAAGATAGCAAAAATCAATCAATTAATAAAACAGAAAATCCATGCTATACAACTGGAGTTGAGCCTCCCCTGGTGGCGCAGCGGTTGAACGCTGGGGAGGCCGTGGCCACCGGCCAGGGTCCCACAAAAAACAAAAACAAAAACAAAAACAAAAACAAAAAACAACTATACAACTGGAGTTTATTATAGGAATGAAAGACTGACTAAACATTGAAAAATCACTCGGTGTAGTCATTATGTTAATTGATTAAAAAGTAGAACATACATGAACTTTTCAATAATGGCAGAACAATTTAACATACATTCCTGATAAATACTCACTTTAAATTTGATCTGGAAGGGGACTCTACTACTTGCTAAAAGGTAGAAAGTGGTGAAAGACTGAATGCTACCCGCTAGCATCAGGAATAAGGTAAGAATCTGCTTTTACTAGCAGTCATGTTCAATCTTTAACTGAAAGTTCTAGCTTTTACAAGGGGAAAAAAGAAAGCGAAAGAAAAGATTCAGATTGGAATGGAAAAATTTAAACTGTACGTGCCGATGATATGATTGTCTATAAGAGAATACGACAGAAGCTACAAAAAATATACTAGACTTGATAAGTTAGTTTAGAAAGGTTACAGGACACAACTGAGAGTTGAAATTTTATTTTAAAATACCAGAAAAGGTGAAATGCTTAGGGATAAACTGCTAAAGGATGTATAAAACTTGTACTATAAAAACAAAAAGACATTGCTGAAAAACTTGTATAAGACCTGAATAAGTGGAGAGGTAATGTGCTCATGATTTAAAATACTCAATATTAAGATTTTAATTCTCCCAAATTTGTTTACATATTCAGTGCATTTTCAATAAAAGTCCCGTTAGATATTTTTGGTAAAAATTGACAAATGGATTCTAAACAAGAATAAAAAGTACCTAGAATAGCAAAAACAATTTTGAAAAAAGTAATATTAGAGGAATTATACTATTTGACTTCAGGAGTTATGATGCAACGGAACAAGACTATGTGATTGTGGCATAGAGAGACATCTAGATCAATGGAACTGAATAGAGAGTCACAGAAATAGATCCATACATTTACCAACAATTGACTTTTGACAAAAGCAATTTAGTAGAGAAAACGAGATTTTTCAACAAATGATTTGAAAAAATTGTATATTCATATGCAAAAATGTTAACTAGGCTCTATACTGCTCACTATTTATAAAAATGAACACAAAATCAATTCATGAATTTAAATGTAAAACTATGTAACTTCTAGAAGAAAACAGGAAAAATCATTGTGATCAGTTTAGGAAAAGATCTCTTCAATTTGACATTAAAAGCAAGATACATAAAATATAAATTGGACTTCATCACAATTAAATGTTTTTGCTCTGGGCCTCTCCATTGGCACAGTGGTTGAGCACTGGGTTGAGAAGCTGCCCGCAGCGTCACAGCACCGGTTCAATCCCCGGCTGCTCCCCGGGCACCCAAGGATGATCCAACATGGCAGGCAGACCTCTTCTGCCGCCTGCTGCTCCCCTCAGCAGTGTACTTCGCTCCTTCTGCCTGCTCTGCTCCCCGCTCCTGCTCTGGTGAATTCTCTCACCCTCCCACGCTTCTGACTGTACCCAGTGCTTGTATAAATAAATAAATAAATAAATAAATAAATAAATAAATAA